CGAGGAGCGTGGGAGCCCCGGGCAGGCCCGGGTAGCAGGGAAGCCCCAGAGAGCAGGGGAGCCCCAGCAGGCCCGGGGAGCCCCAGAGAGCTGGGGAGCCCCAGCAGCCCCCTGGGGTGTTACCCATGCTGATCACGGCGATCTCCCCCGAGGAGGAGTTGTGAGGCCCCACGAAGACGCCCGACACCAGCAGCAGGGAGTCGTCAGCATTGAACTGGGAGAACTGGGTGTAGCTCCAGTTGTACGGCCTCATGTTGGAGCTGTGCTGCAGGGAGATGTCCAGCTCGTTGCTCCAGATCTGCAGACAGACAGACAAGGGGTCAAGAAGCTGCCGAGCAGCCTGGGAGTGGCTCCACTTGGCCTGTTCTGGCAGCAGCAACCAGGATGAGGAAAAAAATCACAATGCAGGCCATATTTAAGTGCCCCCCAGTCCCCATCTCCCTGTCCCAGCCAAGAGCTTTGGGGAGCAGCTGAAGGCAGGGCTGCTGCTCCAGCAGCCTGGGGAGGTGTCCAGGCAGTGAATGGCACTGTCTCAGCTGGGCCTTCAGCATGTTCAGAGATCTGCTCCAAGACAACCACTCACACAAGACACCTTCTGCCATGATTATCTCCACGCTCTCTGAGAGACCCACAGCACAGCATGGGACTGCTCTGCACCTAGAGAGCAGCCAGAGCCAGGCAGGCACCCTGACCACCTCCACGTGGAGCTTCCAGCTCCAGCCCTCAAGGTCACTCTGTGGGAGTCCTTAGTCCTCTGGCTTTGAGAAGAACTCAGCATCTGCAGCAACCAGCCTAAGCTGCAGACACCTGGTCAAACCTCTGCCCTCCTCTCCACAGACTTCCTGGAGGCTGCTCTGGCAGCTAGGTGCCATTCAAGCAGAGCTGGCAGGTCACAGAATCATGAAGGTTGGAAAAGACCATCAAGTCCAACCATCCCCCAACACCACCACGACCACTAAACCATGTCCCCAGGTGCCACATCCACATGGTTTTTGAACCCCTCCAGGGCTGGGGACTCCAGCACCTCCCTGGGCAGCCTGGGCCAAGGCCTCAACACTCTGCCAGGAGAGAAATTCTGCCTCATATCCAATCG